GGCCATGTGCCTGACTGAACTGCTAGAAAAAGCCAGCCCGAGTTTCAAACTGCTAAAACGCAGTTTCAAATGCAATTGAAACTCGGGTCCTCACTAAACTGCTAAAACGCAGTTCCAAATGCAATTACAAACTGTAACCCTGACTGCACAGTAGTTTTCTCTATCTTTTATTTATTTATTTATTGAAACATCTGTGGCAACCTGCTATTGGAGGTAATTTGAGCATCCTCCAATAGCAAGCCCCAGTTTATAGATGACTCCAATCTATTGGTGGGAAGCATCACCTGTGGGAAACCAGGTCCAGCATCCCACTGACAAGATCGGAGACAATATACCTAGCGGAACAGCATTGATAGCCCTCTCAGGAGGGGATTGACTGCCCACCCAATTATCAGCCAGGTCACAGCATCCATCAAGATCTAGCCATGGGGAGGGTGACAAACTGTCCCCCACTCTCACTAATCGTTCACAGTCATAACCATGCAAAGCAAACCCTAGGCCCCCTCCGTGCATAAGGCCGCTGCCCGGCTCCATGATTCTCATTTTCCGCCAGCGGAGGTGGTCTGCCTACCCTCCCTTATACTAAGCTATTCACCCGGCGAAGTCCGGGTGCTTATCAGCAGCAAGCAATTTTACAATGTTTTGACGAGGAGAAACTATTCTCCAAGGACACAGAGAGGGTTCAGGGGCTTAAAGGGTTCAAAGGGATACCTCTCAGTCACATTGCACAGACTCTGAGGACTTGCAGAACAGGACTCTCTCACTTTAGGGGGGCTGCTGAACTAGGGCTGGGCTAATAGAATAGGAGGAGCTCCATGAAAGGAAGGGGAAAAATAGCATCTCCAAGGGACAACAGAGCCCCGGGAAGAGACAACCGTCACCTTAGCCCTAGGAAACAACAAACACCAATATCTGTATTATATTTGTATTGTAAGTTGTATCAATGGGACGCTGGACCCGGTTTCCAGCAGGTGCCGCTCCCCACCAATAGATGGAGCAGCCCGACAGATAAGCCCTCAATTCTGACGGTTCTCTTACCACCACCAGGATAGAGGGATATCGCAAGGGCTATTCTTCCCCCCCCCAAAAAAAAGAAAAAAGTCAGCAGCCGTTGCAGTACTAGACACCTCCAAGGGTGACACTCCCGTTCTTGTACTGGGGTCTATGGTGTTACTTTGGTTCAGAATCTTTAGAATTATGCGAAGTTCTACTTGCAGGTGATATTTTTTTATTTTTTTCTGGGAACATCAAAATCCATTCCTGCAGCTGATTTGGAGTAGGTGGCCTATCTTGTCAGGACAACCATTGGCTGCCGCTACTAGCAATCACAGCGGGTCTGGTCCTTGGCCTCTTAAAAAAAGAAAAGAAAGGGAAAGTAGAGTTTAAATTAAATTGATTTTGGAAAGGTCTTCTGAATGGAACACTGGACCCGGGAGGGAGATCCCATTAGCCATGTATATGGATTAGTGTGATGGGTGTGGGACAGGTGGGGGACAAGTGGGAGGCAGCGTGAAATAGGGGAAATAAGCACAAAAAACCATTTCATTGCCAAACAAATGAAGAAAAAAAAGCTAAAAAGGAGAAGAAAGTGCTCCTCTCACAGATGCTGTCTGCTCCACGCGGGATGTCAGATGTCAGGGTATGATTCACTGACCAGGGCTGTGGCAGTCAAGACGACTGCATGTGAGCGGGCGCGCGGAACATATTCATTGACAATAGTCTGAGGCTTCCGTGAAATGGGCTGCAGTGCACACTGCTCGGTAGTTCTGACAGAAATTCTCTTTGGCAAAGGAGAACAAGAGTAACTCCATAGTACGCCATTTGCTGTAGGCGAGGGGATCGAACCCTCCCAAACATCTCCCAAACCACGATCAATTTCCAGCGACGAAGCCATTCGTCTTTGCCTTCGCTGTGAATGAAACGTGCGTGATTTCATGAACCAAAAAAAATGGTCTTGATTTCACACACGTTTCGGTCCATCACAGGACCCACACAACAAAAACGGAAGAAAAACCTACCAATGGGAGAGCAAAAAAAAAACATCCCTTTCCCGCTCTTAATTCAGAAAAACAGACTATGGATGATTTCCTGCCAATTCAGGATGCCTAACAGTCACACACCTCGTACACGAAGGGCCTCGTTAGACCCTCCTTGGGAAGGCGATTTTGAGGAATTCGGCGTGGTTACACCGCGTCCTAATTCTCCAAATTCCTTGGATAAATGTGAAAACACTCCCGAGAGACTTCCTTGGGCTCCTCGGAATTGCCAGCCAAAACATCCTCGGATTCAAGGGGCCCTCGCGAGGTCCCTTGGGCTCAAGGAGCCGCGATTGACGGATCGTCGTGGAGCGTGCGTCGACACCGAAAATTGGAGTTGTTCGTGGTCCACAGGTCGTCCGTGGTCCATCGGGCAGACAACATCGGCTTCCGGCAGGCGACAGGCCCCCAACGGCGTTGTGCCGTTACCGTTGGCGTGCCGAGGGTCGGGGGGCGGTTCTTTGGCTACGACGTCGTTCATGTGGCGGGGTTCTCCTTGCACGCGTCGTCAGGCGTGGTGTCCAACGGTCAACTTTTTTGAAATTTATTTTATCCCTGCCGTGTGAGCAGCGCCGGCCGACTGCTGTTCTCCTCGACATGTCCATTGCCCGACATTGACATGCGCGTGGGAGGGATCTACGGTCGGTGCAGATCGATAGCTGCTGCGATTCACGACAGATGTCCTCAGACGGCTCCCGCTCCTGTTACTGGCCACTCTTCTCCTGCTCCTTGTCGTCTTGTTGTGCGCCTGTGTCGCTGTTCGGGGTCCGAGTGGCAGACGGAGACGACAAGTAGCAACAAAGGCAACAATTGAAAGGCGGGAGAGCTCCACCAGACAACACAGACGTGCGATTGACTTCTCCATTCATAAGCAGCCAGTGTCTGGCCATCGTCCACCTGCATATGACCCCACGTTGTACAATCATCTCCCGCCGCACGAGCAGCCGCTACCGCCGGATCCGAAAGAGGAATGGGTGGACGATCTGTCCCACACTCTTCCTCTGGGGAGCGGATCTATACAGGAGTGGATGGGGAGGCACTGCCAGCAAATGGAAGCAGGGACTAGTCGTCAGTCGTACTCGGCAATGCGGGAGGAAGGTATCGAAGGAAGGTATGGACGGTGGCGATACGGAGATTGTGGACTTGGATTTTGGCTTGTCAAGCGGGACAGCTGGAGTGGGTGCGAACACTTGTGCATCGAACCACGTGGGCGCCACGACCGTCAAGCAAACGTATGTGAGTCAGGTGGGAGTGGCGGGGTTAGGTGGAAGATCCTCCCCTGTGGGTGGCACGACAGATGGGTGTTGTCCAGCGCCCTCCATTTGTGGAGGCGTGGGACCAGCTGGCGATCCTCCGAGGGTAGTGTTACCCACCCACTCCACGACGCCTTCGCCTGCACTGTGGCAGAGGGCGGCCGCACGGGCGCCGAACGCCAGCACTTCTCCACCGGAAGAAAGTGGGAGGCAGGCGTGGGAGTCCTCTCGCCAACAGACGAACGGGGTGTCGCGGATGCGTGTGGGGAGCGATGCCGATGCGGACGACACCCGGAGGGCGAGTGGTGACGAATCTCCAGATTCCCATTGCGAGGAGGAAGCAGAAGATGCAGAAGACTTGGAGATTCGACCCGTTGGTATGCGTGGTGGACGGAGGGGTGGATGTGGACGTCAACAAATGGCGGCGTCACGTGGTGGTCGTGGATCGAAGGGTCCTGTGGGCGAGAAGGGCGGCAAACATCCAGCTTGGAGTGTTGAGGAGATGGTCAAGCTCGCTCGAGCGAAGCGGGATCAGCAAGGCTTAGCTCATTTCGAAGGAATGCCGCACAACTACGGTCGCATGTGCAACAGGGAATGGAAGTTGCACGACCTGCAGAAGCGTTTGGTGGAGGTGGTCGTGAAGAGGACGACCGACAACATCGGCAAGAAGTGGGATAACGTCTTCCACCAGTATAAGAAGGTGCAACGATACCAGAACGCGTCCGGGAGGAAGAACTTCTTCGTCTTGACGCCTGCGTTGAGAATAGAATAGGGCTTCAACTTCCGAATGAACGAGCGAGTGTACCTTGAGATCGACAACATGTCTCAAGGCAATAAGACCATCTACCCGGATAACCTCGCTGACACGAGCGCTCGGGGAGGAGTGCAGATGTCGAGGGATACTCAACGTCAGCCATCCGTTGCAGGAGAGTCCTTTGCCGAGGGAGATGTGGGTGATGGCAACGACGAAGATGGAGGGTCGGCAAGGGAGTCCGGGCTCAGTGCAAGCAACACGGGTGGCGCTGGTAAGAAAAAGAACATGCGCCAACAAACGTTTGATGCCATTGCCGAAGTAATGGAGAAGCACGGTGCATTAATGGCGGACACTGTAGAGGGGGCAAGCAAGCGGCAGTGTAGCATCCTGGAGCGGCAATGCGACATACTCGAGCGCGAGGTCGATGCCCAGAAGCGGCACTACGAGGCGTCCGACGAGGCGAACAGGATGATGTGCACTGCATTGTTGGAGATCGCTAAAGCAATAAGGGAGAGGTCGTGGTGCCGTGTGAAGTTACGCAACTATGTACATTCTTCCGCAGTCGGTCGTTATATGCATGCATGTCCTAATGCTACATCCCTCGCTTGTTCTCCATGGGTGGCGTAGTGATGGCGCTGACTCCGCACGAGCACTTGTGAAGGGCGCTGTTGAAGGCACATTGTGCGCGGTTTGACAGTTCGTGAAGGTAGACGGGACCGTCGTGTGTCATTGCTTGGAGTAGTTACTTTTCTTCGCTAAGTATGGGTGACCGTGTATATATATATATATATATATATATATATATATATATATATATATATATAGCTGGTAGTTCCCCGACGTTGGAATTTCCCCCGGCCTGGATGGGTCAAATTGACACCGTCATCGTCGGAAGCGCCGTGGCAGGGAAAGGTCACCGCCACCACTATAAAGGTCGGTGCATGTCTGCTGGTTTTCATGTCCTGCGCTTTGTGGGCGTCCATTCCTTGCCTCACCTCGGGGCTGTCTTCCACTGTGTCGGGAGTTGATCATCCTCGCCATCGCCAAACACCACCGGTGTCTTCACTTGCACGTCTCTCTTTTCTTTATCTGTCCGCGGCGTCGTCCGCGGTACGAGGCAGACTCACAACGCCTTCATTTGCGAGACGGGCGAGAGCGATCGGTAGTGCATGGCGCCACGTGGACAGTCCCAATTGAAAAGGCGAGAGGGCGGATCCAGCGAAGGCGCCGGCTGGCAAACGGGAAGGGGGCACGTCTCAAAGTCCAAAAAGTTGCATGCAGTTGACGGATCGGAGGGCGAGATGGGGGGTGAGGGGGGACAGGACGTGTCGCCAATGGATATCCCTTCCACGGCCACGCCAACGCTCGGGTTCGGGAGCGACAGTGTGAGCAGCGAGCGGATGATTGCACTTGCCAACATTGGTCTTCCAGAGAATCCAGGGACTCCACGTGGCGGCGGGAGTGGAACCGTGCGTTCTCAAGGGATTGTCATCAAGGACACGGCACCGCAAAGGCCTGTTTGTTCAACGTCCACGATCGTATCCATTGTCAAACACATGGATAAAGGACAAGTCGCTGGGTCTCCCTTGCACCACGTGGATCCGTCGAACACGTTGATGGTCGGGGGGTCGTCGAGGGTTATTGCTCCTTTTGCACAATCAGGAACCGCCAGTATCCATGCCACCGCCACTGTTGAAGGAAAAAGGCGAGAAGATCGGAGGGTCGAAGAGGAGGGAAGGAAAGAGGAGAGGAGGGATGACACTCCACGGGCGGACGACGAGGAAGACGAGTCTCTCAACTTGAGGAAGAAAAGAACGCGTCAGGAGGAAGAGTTGGAGGCGAAATCCAAGCTCTGGGTAGACGGGAGGCGTTCTGGGGAAGCGGACCTGGTCGCATGATTGTGGACGTCGTGCATGATTGCGCGAACTATTATTGTGCAATCGTGAACAGTGATGCAGGCGCCACCGCTCCGCATGGTGTCATCCTGCCACCCCCCGATGTTCCTCGCGTGCGAATAGAAGATCTCGCACAGCAAGAGCCAACTCTGCTACGGGCGAGATGAACGAAGAACATCGCTATGCACGTCATTCACGGGTGGATATTCAGGTCGTCTTCAAGGTCCGATGGTTTCGCCCGCGCCGAGTCGTATATTGCCGTTGATACCCCACCAATCTGGCGAAAGCAGTTTGGCAGAGTGTGGAGTGGTCGAGGGTAGTGTCGCCTAGTGTCGTCTACCATACGCTCGCTCTGAAGATGGAAATTCCATTGTGGTATGCGGGGGCATATATCGAGGATAGGCCTGAGAACGACGACATGGCAGCCCATTAGGAGTTCACGGTGATGCGTTTGGCGTCCTGCTTTCACGATGTGCTCCGAGCTGGGCAGTGGTCCGACGACGGGAAAATGTCCCACTCAAGACTCAGCAGAGTCGTGAACGCTTTCCGCCTGCTTCTCGCCCCGTGCATGTAGGTCATGCGCATATGGGGCAACGATGCACACTCCTACAAGGAGGCGTGGTACTACGTGTAGCTCATGGCGAAGCCCACGACTGTGGCGGCTGGTTCGCAGTCCTTCAACTAGCGGCGGCAAGTTCTCCAATCCATGAATGTCGTATTGACTCGCCTCGGGAAGCCGCCCTTGACGATGGGTGCATTTCCTAACTACATCCCGGAGTGGGCTTCATGTGGAGTGCGCTTCAACTACCACGCTGGTTTGACCGACCCCGACATCGCGGAGAGGATGGACTGGATGGGGACGAGAGTTTTTGATGGCCATGGCAAGGAGGACAGTCCCGACGACGAAGCAGGGAAGTGAATTTGGTGGATATGGTCGTCCTGCACATCGTGGCAGCATGCTTCGCCCGTGGAGTGGAATGGTCCGTGGTCTTCGGCGGCACGCCCATCGTGTTGGTTTGTATATGGCGGCTGCGAGGCCAGGAGGGAAGGGGTGTCGACCCAGGTTTGGAATGGGGATCAAGCTGGCAGGCGAAGGCAAGATTGGCGAGGTTGTGGGCTGGTAGGGGGGGAGGGGGATGTGTAGATGCGTGTCGGCGATCGAGGGCCGCTTCAAAGTTAGTGCGGCCGTTTTTCTTCCCCATAGTTGGAAAGTGTGCCACATCGCCCGCCGACGCTCATGTTCGTGGCAGCCGACCGCGGATGTGGTCGTTTTCGTTTTCATTTTCTTGCGGATTTGTGCAGTGCATGTACTGCTCAGTGAAGGCTATATGATTAATGGCACCTTTTCGGGGACAACACAACAAAAGGGGATGCGTTTCTTAAATTTCTGTCATGGATGCAAGGCATGTATCAAATGATACATTTTGCAGGGTTTTCCTTCCGCGTCTCTGGAAATTATGTTTTCGCATCGTATGATTGATTGACTGATAGATTGATTGATTGATTGATTGATTGATTGATTGATTGATTGATTGATTGATTGATTTATCGTTTGGTCGGTTAGCTGGCCGATCGATTGATCCATTGTTTGATTGATTGGTTGGTCGACTAATTGCTTCATCGATTGATAGAATAATTCATTGATTGATTTATTGGTGGTTGAATTGAATGCCACAGGAAATGCGCATGGATAGACAAGAAGGTGCTTCTTTTGTTGCTACATGAACCGAATGACACAAAAAATCCGCATCGATCGATTAACGCAACAAAAGAACTCATAGATGACACACAAAAGCGCATCCAAGGACGCGGATATTCAAAAAAGGCACAAGACAGACGACACCGCCATATGCGAAAACATTGTCATGGAGCGGCGCTCCGTCGCTCTTCGAAGGTTCGCGAATTGATTAAAAGTCACGCCAACTAAACGATAGTAAAAGAAAAAAAAGAAACGTCTCAACGAAGAAGACCATAAAGTAAATAAATCAAAACAACTGCAGTGACCCTGCAAAACTGTTTCCAGCATACTACACTTCCGCCGGAGCACAACAATAGTCACCACCTCCCGTCCATCACCACGTCCGCCCCCCGCCTCCCCCGCCCCACCCCCGCCCCTTGAGATCGAAGTCGTAGCTACCACCGTCGAGGCAGTATGCCCGTTCACACATGCTTCATTCGCTCCGCCAATGCTTCGTGCAACGCCAGCGCACGGGGGCGATTATAGTTTTCCACGATGGGGTGCGGTGGGTGATCCAACCCCAAGTCCACTCGTCGGCGCGCGCCATTAGCGTCCACCTCCCACAACAAGTTTTCGTCGAAGTCCATGCCAGCCCTCAATCTCCGAAAAGCTCTCACCACTGCTCCTCTGGCGACCTTCTGCTTGTTGTCGAACCTCTCTTCATCGGTGCATTGATCGGTCCCCCTGTAAGGCACGATGATCCACTCCAGAGGAGGATAGCCGTTATCGCCGAGAATGTACCCGTGTGTCTTCACTTCGAACGGCAGCACCACAACAGGTCCATCCCCCTCCTCCGCACGCGCCCACAGACTGGAAAGCTGAAGCACGCGGATGTCATGGCAGCTTCCTGGATAACCGACGAAAACGTCCGTAATGTGCAAGTCCAAGTCCACCACCACCTGCGCAACAACGAAGAAACGGTGCTTCCGATCGATGTAGCTCTCCGATGGTGCGTTCGCCGATTTGTCCACGTATATGTGTGTGCAGTCTATGCAGCCATAGCAGTTGGGGAAACCCTTGGCCTCGAAGGCGCGCAGAACGAGCACCCGCCGCAACCCGGAAGGCCAGACGATGTTGTCACGGTACACCCCCAGAAGTGCCCTGGCGACGTCCTCGACTGCGATCAAGCCTGATGCGCGTCCTATGCCGAATACTGATGTGCTGCTCTCGTACGTCTCCCCGCTCGCCCATCGATACAGCGCATATGCGATGATGTGATCCGGCATTAACGGTAACCTGTAGAATGTCACCCACCGCTGCAGAAGAGGGGACAACGCCTCCACGATCTCCCGGAACACCCTAGTGGACATCCTCAACTTCTCCTTGCAGTAGTCGTCTGCCGCGTCGTCCATCTTCCGGAGATCTTCCCATGTGCCTCCCGTCCTTCTCCTCATCCACCATCTCGGAGTCGCCTGCGGGATCACACCGGATGCCATGGCGCAGCAAGACTGGACAATGGATTCGGACATGGATACACAGTCAGGCGCTTCCATCACTTGTTGCAGGAGCTGACGCTGCCTGTGAATCGATAGTCTCATCTTGAGGCGCACTGTCATTCTCTCGATGCGATATCGCATGCTGCAACCACCGCATTTCTCTCCGAAATCGTCAAGGCGTTGCCACCGCACTGCAACTCTCTGACCATGATGACGCCGCGCAATGCGCTTTTCACCAACCTCCGCGTCGGCCGCCAGCACCGTCGTTCCACTCTCTCCGCGTGGACGGGGAAGGCAGCAGTTTCACACAACTTCGACGGAGGGCCGACGTGCGAGCTCTGCTATGGAGGCCCGCCGGATTGTTGTCGACACCCCCAACAGGAATGTGGGACTCCGTCAGAGCTGACGCACTCCGAGATCGTTACCATCCGTGCCGCGTCGGCACACGTTCCAATCCCCGCGCATTCAGCGATGGCCGCCGCAAATCTTTCACGCAAACGTTTCTCTCCGGTGTCCCCTCCAGCGGTCTACACCCCACCGTGTGTCGATGCGTATCAGCCAAGGGTTTGAAATTCAAAATTTCAAAAGATATTTTCATGCCTTTTTTTCTCTCCTCAGCCCGGAAGGGCTCCCTGCCGCCGCCAGCGGACCACGCCTGAGGACAGACGGACATCCCACCACGACGACGGACATCCACCCACACGGCCGCATATATGCGTATGAAATTCACCGCAGGAGACCTCCAAGGGTTTTCCTTGGGACCCATTCAATTAGGACGCGGTGTAACGACGCCGCCAAAACCCGTCGAATTTTCCAAGGACTTCGTCCTAATTCCTGAGGATTTTTCAAGGAGGGTCTAACGAGGCCCTAGTCCACATACATTGGTAGTGGGATGTGACGCGCTTAACCTCACGCCCTGTGTTGTCTTTCGTTCGGAGTGTTAGTTGTGCGGAAAGAGGCCCAGAAAAACAGCGAGATGGGGTATGCGAAGGATTTTTGGAAGTTGAGTGTGGGGACACAAACGGAACTGAAATCCCCCGTGATGGTCCGATGAAGCAAGTCAATTGTTTTCGCGCGTCGCGGAATGCGCGCGCGGACAAAGTGCGAAGAGAGAAAAATCCAAATTCAATCTAAAAAGTATTGTCGGGCTTCCCACTGTGCTACGGCCCGTCGTTTAGAGCGGAAGCGCTTTGGTACGCTCCGCGTGTCCTGTTTCCGTATCAAATCTCGTCGTCGTTTGATGGTTAGTTCGGAGTCTGACGTGGATGGTCTCAGTCGAGTGGCTCTTTCCTTATGCTCGTCCTAACCCCGTATTCGGTAGTGAAAGCCCTCCGCTTCGTAGCGTTCGAAGCGCTGACACTCTGTGCACAGGGTTCAAGGCCAATGGGGGTTCGAGGCCAATGCGGCGTCACTGCCGTCCACGGAATGACGATCAGCTCATTAAAGGGCAACAATATCGAGTAGGGCGGGAAGTGTGTATCGATAATGACAAATCCAGCTTCTACGAATCCTCAACAACGATCGGCCGGAGGGAAGTAATATTGCCGGCCGATTTGTGCGACGGCTTCTCGTACGTCCCACTCACATACACTTGTCCTTTCCTCGCTGTAGGGAAAAGGTCGCGTTGGGATGGGAGATATGGGAGGCTGGCGCCCAATCGAAGGGTACTTATCAGTCCACATGTCAATTAATCAGAAATATCCCGAGACGTCATTAAGAACAGAAGCGATTCGCGCGACCCCCAATCAATCCTTTTGACACGAGAGAGAGAGAGAGAGAGAGAGAGGGAGATAGATAGATAGATAGATAGATAGATAGATAGATAGATAGATAGATAGATAGATAGATAGATAGATAGAGAGAGAGAGAGAGAGAGA